CATCTTACTAATCCAGTTAAGGCAAAGTTATATGAAAACAATAATGATCTGATTGTTATTTTGGGTGATCCAACCTCTGTATATTAACCTCTTGATATTTCTATTAATTATCTATTCAAAGTAGCACTTTGTTGTTATTGGCATATATAGATAGCAAAGGGTAGTTCTGACAAAACCAAAAAAGAGAACTTAAAATGTGCAGAATTATACACCATTTGTGAGTGGGTACTTGCCACTTGGTCAAAAATTGATCCTGAAATTATTCAGCGTGTCTTTTGTAAGTGCTCTATTTCTAATATGATAGATAAGTCAGAAGATAATAAAATATATCAGGATGAAATCCTTAGTAATGAAAGTGAAGAAATTTACCAAAATAAATCTGCTATATTTTTAATAAACATAATATTATTACAATCGATTCTAGTGATGATGAAGCAGACCATGATGCAATTATTGAGGAAAAATGCAATTATTAAGAAAGATGCAGTTATTGAGAAAGATGAAGAAGTTCTTGTTTTTACAATTGATTAGCAAAGAATAATTAAAGTTTTATAATAGTGTAATAAAGTTAAGGATAGTTTTGCTCTTGAGCCATTTTAAGATTTAACAATATTGTTTTAAGAAAAACTTAGACAAAAAAAAAAGAATCAAATAACACATATTCTAGTGATTAGAATTAGGTGATTTTTATAGCATTTAATTCTTCTTTTTGAGAAGAATTGATTACTATAAAAATTGTCATTTTAATTACTATATTACAAAATTTTTGATTGCCCAACTTGCTATTAGTGCTTATTAACTATTATATGCTTAATATGATATCATATACAGATAACCTTTTTATCTGAAATATTTTTACTCTATTTAAGAAAATACGCAAGTTTTATTGAATTAGATAATTTATATATAAAAAAGAAATTTCAAACCATATTACCAAACTTAATCTTAACATGCATAATGCTAAATCGATTTTAGATCAGATCTAAAATCGCCTTCCTAATATTTTAATTAGCATGTCAAAATAGATTTGGGTGTTCACTTTCTATAATTTTTATTGTTTAGCATGCAAGACTAATTGATTTACAAATCTAGTATTTATTGATTCTGAATCAAAATTATAGGTCATATATGTCTAGTGTTTTATTATTTTTATTGGTTCCAAATTAAAAGTTGTAAACCAGATATATGACATAAAGGGTTTTAAAACTAGGGTTGCTTATATTTGATAACTGATAATTTTTCTCATTTCTCTTATTTTTGATGCTCCAAATCAGGAGAATGGCTTTTATTTAGGAGTTGCTTCTATTTGGTAATATACGGTAACAGGCTTTGAAATATGGTTTTAAGGTATTTAAAAAAAATAAGTATCTTTAGGTTGATATCTGAGTTGGTTTTGTAAATAATGTCAGTAAGAAATTAAGATTTTTTAATTACTATAGTACAAATGATATATTGAAATAATGCTTTAAATGAATGTCTGGTTTTGGTAGCAGGCTTAATTTCTTTTTCTGAATAGAAGTTGTATAGATGTTTTTTAATAAAAAAAAGAATTTGTCTAGATAGTAGATTAAGTTTTGTTTGTTATTCTATTTTTTCAATGATAGGAAATTTAGTAAGCCAATCTAATCCTGCAGAAAGTTTGTTGGTTGCTTTTTTTTTTTTGTTGTTTTAGTTTGTCAAGTTCTTTTTGTATTTTAGATTCTTCTTCTTGTAATTGTTTGTATGTGTCTGACAAAATATATTAAATATTTTTAAATAAATCAGTTGTAGTTTGATCTTCTATATGTTCATTTGTTTCTATTTCTATAGTTTGTTGTTGTTTATATTGCTTAGATTGTTGTTGTTGTTGTTTTAAGATTGCTCTTGATGTAGTCATTGTTCTTTTGCTTTTGCTTGTTCTTTTTTATTTATTTGTTGAAGACATTGTAAATAATATGCTGAAGAAGCAGCTTTTTGGAAGTTGATGGTTGTTGTTAATAGATTTGTAGTTAATCACAGTTCAGCATTTGGGACATGTATTAATATAGGTTTTAGGAGTAAGAGAAGTTGAAATAATTGCTGATATTGAAGTAATAACTTGGTTTATTTGTTCTGTATTTTGTTTTTTGTTTTCTTGCCAACAATAGAGGCTAGAAATATAAAGATATAAATAATATTAGTTGGAGAGTAAAATTGTGTATAGAAATTGCTACAAAAGCACTTGACTGTTGTGGTTAAGCATAGTGCTTTGAAGAAGTGAGTTTTTTTAACTTGTCTAGTATTTACTATAATACAACTTGATAGTTCAAATTAGATAAGAATCATTTTGATATTATTTGATTTGTCTTTATAGATAGCAACTCCAAAAGTATTTGTATAATTTGTGCAGAAGATATTAAAGTCAAGTATATTAGGGTTTTAAGTAATTAGAATAAGCATATTAATATATTTTTTCCTTAAGGGTACTAGTCTGATTGTTTTAGTAAAATTTTGTAATACTGTATAATATTTTAAAAAGCTTTGAGTAGTATATTAAATAGGATTAGACAAAAGTAGGTACTACAGAGGTCTTTTGTATAACTACTGTAACTGGTATAGCTTGTATAATCTTGTATAATTTAAATTAATCTAGATAATACAAAAGTATAGCAAGATCTCGAAAAACTCTAATATAACTTAGAGGTTACTAAAAAAAGGAAATTTTGAATAGAAATTCATCAAACATTGTATTTTTATATAGTAAATTTTTAAATTTTAGTCTATTTTATATATTTATTTGGCTGATATTATACAAACTCAGATCTAAGTTGTATCAGAGTTCTTTGAGATTCTAGTATAGCTAGTATAGTTAGTGTAGCTAGTATAACAGAAAAGTTATACATAGTACTAAACAATATATAAAAAGCCTTATAGCAAAAAGTAGTAATAGACAAAAAATTTTTTTTAGTAGTTTTTTGATATTGTGTTTTAAATAATCTAATTTTGCAAAAATAAAATTTTTGCAAAAAAAACTTTTTTTGGCCTATCATCACCTTTTTTTGTGGGCCCCCATATAAGTATTGTTAAAAGAAAAACCAAAAATTTAAATATGATTGACAATTATATATAAATACAAAGGTTATATAAAAATAGCAGTTAGTAAAAATAAATTTGTATTATTAGTTAGGTTACTATTTTTAGATAATTTGATTGATACAATAAGAAATTTAATTAATTTTAAGTTTGAGAGTAATTTTTTGTTACACAAAAAACAGGTTAAGAGAAAAAAGTTAAGGGTAAAGATAAAAGAATTTTTAAGAATTTTTAAAAAAAAGTAGAAAGAGTTTTTGTTAATATTTTGGTTAATATTAGACCAAAACTCTCTGTTAAAGGCTTGTTTTGACTGAGTAGATAAGTTTAATAACTTATCTTAGTGCTACTAGATAGGTTGTAAATATAGTTTTAGAAAAATAGTTAAAAGTTAGAATTTTAAAACCAAAAGTAGTTTTTGTAGTATTATACTACAAGTTT